TTTGGACATGTCCCCGACAATCCTCCGAGCTTGTTGCATACGACTTCGGGCCCGACTTCCTTCAGGGCTTGTTGCATATGGCCCCAGAATGCATACTTTAAGACAAAATTCCCCTGTATATTGCGTAAGCCCTTTCAGCCTTTGGTGGAGATGGAAGGCACGCTGTTTCTGGGTAAGAGAGCTTTATTCATGGACTCATGTACTGTGCCTTCAATCACTCGGTTCTCAATTCATCCAACTTAAACTCAGTCATCATATGTGAGGGCAATCTCAACTTTAATGAATTGAGCAGCATTCTGCATATGGCCGATGTCAAACTTTGCGAACTGAATAATTCGTTAGCCGCGTCCGCGGTTGCGTCGCGTACCGCGAATCAAACCATTCGCTGTACGCGACGCAACCGCGGACGCTAGCGAATTGCTAGAGTCGCAAAATCTGACATCGGCCTATGTAATCACGATCGTTCACTGAAGTCCATCGTGACCGAAAGAATTTTGCGCTGGAAATTCTAAGAGACACACCTTGAGTGAACGTATCATTTGTTTACCAGCAGCGGTGTTCACCCCTTTAGACATCTTTTTTGATCTCGGCTTTCGCGAACGCTTACCCTGAAATCGTTTTTTATCATTTGTTCGCCTATACAGACTTATCCAAGAAACAAAAATGTACCCGGGAATCACTGCGCGATAACGATTTTCCCTTCTCCAAGCTGCCTTGAGTTTCTTTCGTTTTCCCTTTCTCCTTGCTGCCTTGAGTTTCCTTCGATTTTCCCTTCTCTCCGCTACCTTGAGTATTCTAGAAAAGGAACACTATCCTAGACTTGCTAAACGGATTATAACTATTACCATCGATCCCATCTTTTCATGAAACTTTGACTGTTTGACTGGAGATTTATGTGGATCGATTAAGCCTCTGCGCTGGTTTTGAATGTGAGGTCCTCAAAGCAACAGTCCCAGCAGGGTTTTTACCTTTGACACTAATGGTGTGGAACCGAAATAACTTCGTATAGCGGCGCTAGAAGGGAGCCGAACGGCTTCGAAGTGAGCGTGGTTAATCGTCGAGGGACTGAGAACTCGGCGCATTAGCCGTTCGGCTCCCCTTTCTAGCGGGCTTCCAAGGTGAGTTTTATGTTCAGCCACACTTCTTATGTTCTTGACTAGGGCTAGGGCTAGCGCATCGTTCCACACCATTAGTGTCGAAGGTAAAAATCATGCTGGAACTGTTGCTTTAACACATTTACGCAGGCGGCAGCCCACATGGCCTGCAAAGGGAGTGTGCTCGTGGAGCAATGGCAGCCCATATGGGCTGCCAGCTAACATTCCTGCCAGTCTCTTGTATCGTTTTTTGGGTACTTCTGATATTAGTGAATGAGATGGAGACCGTAACCACAAACGGAACTTTTTCTGTAGTTAAATTAAAAGTTTAAAGGAGAGTGATTAAATTGAAAAAATCAAGTTCGGAATCCTTTGAAGTTCCACTGCGTCGAAGTGAATGAATGTTGCCTTCTCATTGCCAAAACGCGTCGTGATCGGAATCCTACTATTAAATGCTGAGATAACCTTTACGCATTGAAGGTTGGTGAAATTATTTTGTGGGACATTCACGTTTTTGTTCATTTACACACAAAATCCACGGATGTTAAGCGAGGCGGCGGCGGAAATCGCGTTCTGCACGCGGCCGAAGAGTGGGAAAGGGGCGCCGTCGTGAATGTGTTAATTGCTAATTGAACCATATTTAATTAGTGGTTCATTTGGAACCAGCTAATCATTTCATTGGCAGAAAACTTATGCATTTTGTGAAGGCCGTCGTCACTTGTGTTGTGTTGTCTGCACTTGACAAGCACCTTGTTTTCGAAAACAGAGGGTATAATTATTATTTCATTTCCATAACCTGTAGTCGAAAGGTCTACTACTCGCCTTCCATACCTGCCAATGGTAGGGTCCCAGGCGTCAATGAAGATCGACGAACTGCCACTAATAACCGCTATGTAGTTCAATAAATTCCCCCTCCATTATCCATACATCCAGACCTACGGTAGAATAGCAGATTTAGATTTATGGGGGGGGGGGGGAATCATGGTAGGCAGCAGGCACGCCGCAGCCATACGGCCCGTAATTTCGAATTCTGAATCAAGTTCTGCTCATATCAGCCATTTCGGCGTAACCGCAAGATACAGGGGCATTGTAGTGACAACGCATTCAAAACCGCATAAAACATGTCCTTTTTGCTAGAAACGGCACTGAGCCTCAGGCAGGGAGGAGAAAATCCAAAGGGCGTGAGCAATTTTCGTTTTCCCCGAAGTTCCACACACCCCGGATTCTCTTCTCCTTCGCCTAAGGCCTAGTACCGTTAAAAGAATGAGATGCTTTAGGAGATTTCGGATGGTGGCCACTGCAATGCCCCTATATCTTGCAATAGCTCAATTCTTCTTTGTGTTCTCAAGAACGGGAGAGGACCGTCCACAGAAATAGGCACCGCTACACCTAACCCCTTTTGATGGCTAAGTGGACAGTCAAAGTAGGAGGATTTCTCCTATATTGAGAAGCTCATGTTTGGCATCCGTCCAAAATAGTGCTTATACCTGTGCTCTCCAGGTGTGCGATTCTAAAATGCATTATATTTTCAGTGAATTTTGTCTGCTGGGAGGCTTTCCATAAGTGGCAGAAACAGCTTTGGGCGCTCATTCAATAGGGGGGCATTGAAGTAAGTGAGCCACCCACAGAACTTGGGACTTGGCCTCAAGAAGGTGAGAAGATTCCGAGGAAGGACGTGAGCAACGTTTCTTCTCCCTGGCATTCCTCCCTCCTCCGCGACTGATAATGAGCCCTAGTGTCACCACCACCAGCGATTTTTGAGCGCCTGTTTTGAATAAACCTTCCCTGAGGACATGAGCCCCAGCTTTGAACTCTCGCATATGTGAGAAGAATCCAACACTGTCCTTTTTAAAATATGTAGATGGGAAGTTGAAGCACTTCCCAAAAAGTGTTCTAAAAAGCAGCTCTTGCCTTCAGTTTTTCTGGAGTTCCATCACTGAGCTTCGAGTCGGAACTGACTACCACAGGTTGTACGAAATTTTTGTCGGTTGGTTTGGGTGGTGCTCGTCCGCACAGAAGAACTGTTAGGGCTGTAATGACAGGTTGCTGGAAGCTGAGCGACATATCAAAATGGGCGCTCATGTCGTTTGGGGGAAGGGACACTCAAGTTAGTGAGCCAATTGCCTGTGCTTGGGACTGAAGCCTTAGGCAGGGAAAGGGATTCTGGGGTAGGATGTGAGCAATGTATGTGTTCTCCCTGACGTTTCTCCCCCTCTCCTGGGCTAGTCTAAGGGTCACCTACCATCGGCTCTGTTGTGATTTCCCCCCCCCCCCCAAGGACATGAGCCGCCCAAAACTGAGCTAATCCAGAACTACTCCTATTACCTGCAATAACTAACATGACCGTTCCGTGCCAGCTCAAAGCATCCAACACCCACAGCATGTCATGGTAGCAACCGCAATAGTGAACAACCCACGTGGATTGTTATGATAACTTCATGATAGCTTTCCCTTTGATTGATTCCCATGGAGTTATCATGAATTGACCATAACATTCAAAACCATTATCACGGGGTTATACGGTGCGCAGCAACATTAGCACAAGAAACAAATCTGTTTGGAAACGTAGTAAAAGGTCAGATTAAAGGCAAAGTTCGAGCTCAGACCCATCCAAGAAGCCCTTACCATGGCTAGAAGTGATGGGTACGCAAGTGCAAAGGTAGCGCCCCCTTTTTTCATCGAAACGCGTCACTAGGACCCTAGGCGCCATGGACTTCTAACAGACTCCACCAAACTTAACATGGTCCGCCCACCGTTCGATATCTTGTCTGCGTCGCTGCGTTGATCTGCTATGCTCTCTCTTCTCGGACTTCTCTACCGCTCTCCGCGCTCACATTATCTCTCATCTCCCTGCCTGCCTTTTGAACTTCTCCACAGCATAGGAGCAAAAGCTCGTATGCGCCTTTCTTCCTTTCTACCTTTCAATCCCCTTTCTTGCCTTTAAGCGAACAGGAGCGCAGGTTTCATTCTCCACGAAAAAATGAACAAGGTGATGCAATACATGAAGCTTTGAAACGATCTCCATTATACTTCTGAATACTACTAAACCTATACATATATGTTAGGTTGTAAGGAATGTTCTTGCCGTTTTGGACCCTTATGTTCAAACCAGTTTAGCTCCGCACGCTAACGCGCGCATGACACAGTAGAATTCGGTAAAAATGGATAACCTGTGAAGAGTTAGGTCCCACCGCTGAAGAATATAACGGTAAAAAAATATTAGAATAGAAATTTATAGCTTAGCGCTGGCGCCATAGGCCGACCACTTCCGCTGAAACTAACCGTTTGATATGCGTGGTAGAATACACACCTAAACTGGTCTTTGTCAACTATCATCATGCGTTGAACGTAGAAATATTTAGTGATTGAATAGTATTTGATGCTAGTGATGATGTTAATATAGGAATCCAGTAGTCATTATCGTATTTATTGAAACATCCGACACATTTTTATGTACTTGAAGCAGAGTAGCGGTCAATCGTCTGATGCTGATCGTTTTTATCACCTTTATCAGCCGATCACTTTCGTCCTTCACTAAATATGCTCGTTCCGCCCTCTACATCACTTTTTGGGACCATCGCTTCACTGCTGCTGGGACACGTACGATCTTAGTAACGTTTTTGTTCCGGCGTATTATTAGCCCTTGTCAGCTGTTATCACTTTCGGTCCCCATTCAGTTTGGTCCCTTCCTACACCCTCTACCATAACCACCTCCTTTTTGCTTGTTTTCACTCTTTACAAATCATTTTATCAGGGCATGTTCTCGGAGTGAGTAGTCCCTTGCATATAGTTCTGATTATGAAACTAAAGGATACAAATCGATTCTGACACCTTCAAATACTCGAAGGTGATTGAACTAATACAACTTGCAAAGCTAATACAACTCTCGAAAGCAACAAAAATTTATTACATCAAAACCTCAGTGTATACAATGTTCTTCAAACAGGTTGATGAAGATTCAATCTTAATCCCGCCAGGCGACCTAGCTCTAGATAAGGCCACGTAAAGCTGTCCGTGAGCAAACACTTCTTCAGGAAGGTAAATACCGACTTTACTGAAGGACTGGCCTTGCGCCTTGTTGATGGTCATCGCAAAGGCCACTCTAACAGGGAATTGTCGCCTTCGCAGACGAAAAGGTGTCCTTTTCTCCCAATAGTTATCAATTCTAGGTATAACTGCGAGTTGACCACTACGCTCCCCACTGAAGAATCGGCACGCTAGAGTATATCGACCCATTCCTTCGACAATGAGTCTCGTTCCATTACAGAGCCCGTTGGCTACATCCAAATTCCTTAACAACATGACTATGGCGCCCTTTTTGAGACGAAGCTCGTGCGGCGGCATCCCTGTTGGAGTCAGTGAATTCAGATACTCCATTGAAAAGAGCTGCTCATTCTGTCCTTCTGGGTAGATTGCTTCGTCTATACTTTTGTAGCAGCGTTCATCATCCGGGTTTCGTACGCGGAGCCGATCTAAAGCCTGCTCATTCAAGTGATGGACGTGAGTATTCTTTGGTGCTAATATGGCACATCCACATAGTTGTGATGGATCTTCGGGATCGATAGTAGCACCAAAAATTTCGTTTACAATGCCTGTCGTACACATCATTGTGGATGGTACGGAAACTTGATCTTGAGAGTCGTTGGCATCTCCACTGCCAATTTCCAGAAGGCGTCTTCGCCAGCTACTCTCCCCCGCTTGAATTCTCATGTTATCACTCAGGTGATGAACGGTGAACAGAGGCCAAAGGAATGAGTTGCGAACGCAGGCTTCGACAATGTCATCGCGCCGACCATTCTCGACTACGGGTAAGATCTGTCTGAAGTCACCACCTAGAACGACAACTTTTCCGCCAAAAGGTGTACTGAGCTGCGTAATATCCCTCATGAGAGCGTCCACGGCTTCAAGAGCGACCTTGGGTGTCATGGATATTTCATCCCAAATGATTAGGTCTGTGGCCATGAGTTTCTGGGCCTCTGTTTGTTGACGTCTCATTGAAGAAGTGCGGTTTCCATCTCCAATGTTCAATTTGAATGTTGAGTTCACCGTTCTACCCCCAGGCAAAAGGTTAGCGGCTATTCCAGTCCAAGCCACACACAACACTTGATACCTTCTTCCAACCGCAATGTTATAAACGGTGTTGTACAAATACGTTTTTCCGCTACCTCCTGGTCCATCAACGTATATGCACCTACTCTCATTACCGTCCAGTGCAGCAAGATGCTGTCTGCAGCCGCTCTCTGCATGGGGTTGAGTGTTTCATACTGACCAAGTCCATTCCTCTCATAAGCGGCATAGTCGGTAAACGTGGGTGGTGGTAATGGCCGCTCACGTGCTGGCGGGGTGACAATCCGGCTAAAATCCTTTCCTAGCAACATCATTCGGTCAAAGACGTCAAAATAGGCCAAAGACACTGCTTGCTCCAGATCTAGTCCTTGGTTAGTAAAATCATCAGACATCGATGGTGCAAATTCGTCCCATAGCTCTTGAGCGTGAACTACGTCACAGAAGCACAGAAGGCATGCAAAAAAGCTTCTAATCGTTGCAGCCGACTGGTAGTGCACAGCTTCCTGAAGGCTCTGCCGTAGATATGAATCGTCATCCAGTAATCCAGCAGCTTTCGCTGCATCAGCAAAATTGTCATGTATCGTTCCATCTACGGTACGAATGTCTTCGAATGATATTTTTCCTTTTGTATTTAGCAGAAGAATTCGCAGACTGTACCTCTCCGTGTCCCTCGGTGGAACTGTATACATTCTTCCAATTTGTTTACTACCTCTTTCTCTAGGTGTCCATCCTCGATCACGGCGAAATGTGAAGTACTCAGGGATCTGGTAATAGTAGAGGTTTCTAGCGTCCACAGGGATTTCTGGGCGTGAAGTACCGTCGAAGATTTGGGCACACCGGGCGTTCAGTTGGAAATAAGCTGTCAACGTGGTATGCAATCTTTCTTCTCGACTCAGAGTTTCGCGTTCCCTACCTTCGGCGAAGTAGACGGTGTGAAAGTCAGGCAAGTGCACCGCCAGTCTGCATACAGTGTGAGATCTATCCTGGAGAGGCAAGCCAAAGATCCTGTACAGACTTTGTGGGGCACAAACATATCTTGTGTTCAAGTGTCGTTTTATCTCATCTTCTTCGCCTGCACCTTCGATGTTAATATTTGCGCGGTCTGGTCCCTTGTATATATACTTGTAGAGGTACTTTACAGCAGAGATCATCCCGCATATCTCCATATTGATGTGGCAGTCGTACTTCAGAATTAAGTATGGATTCGTCGGCACGACCCATTCATCACCGTAAGATAATCCATGTATGTCGGTCGGATGAAGATTACGCCTCCTATACAAAGGGTAGCCGTCTGCCTCTACCGAAGTTTGGGGACGCAAAGGCTTTGGGAATCGCTTAGAGCAGGAACCACGTTGCATACACGGCGACCGGGGGTCTGCGGGACCACATTGCCGATGTATCATGTAAGAAGTGACAGCAGCGTGAAGTTCTGGTTCCATTTCTGGATTAGGAATCTCGGCAGTGACTGCTCTGTCGCACTCTTCAGGTGTGCGAACTTTCCATCTTTCCTTCATTATCAAGAGCATGTGACAATGTGGCAATCCGCGCTTCTGGAACTCAACAACATATACGTACGCCTGTACTTCTCCAAGCACATGCTTCTTGAAGAGATCAGTGCAGAGTTCCATTAGCTTTGCGTGGAACACACGCGAAGTCAGATCAGGACGGTCCGACGGTGTTTGCCCGACAAACAGGTTTTCCTGTATTTCTTTCCACTGCGGATTGCAGGTCATCGTTAGAAAGTACGTAGGTTTGCCAAAACGGGCCACTATTGCCATAGCATCTTGGAAAGATTGTTGCATCGATCGAGGGCTTCCAATGTAAGATGAGGGTAGAATAATACGCCTACCCGGTGGCCCATCACTATCTTCTCCGGCAACATAGTCCTGGAGTCCTCTGTAGTAATCAGCGCGTAGGGCAGGTTGATTCTGACGTTGGAAGTTCAGACGGTTCTGCTCGATCTTAACATACGCATCAACAGCAAATTGTTGACACAACTTTCCAGCGTACAGAATTGGATTGAATGAATCCCGTATCGAGAACAAATATGAGTAGTAGTCTTTTTGAGTGATGCGACCGCCTGAATTATTTGTTAAGCTCGGATCCCATCCTCCTGCGCCAGTTGGGAAAAGCAGCGGATATGTTAGCGGGTCGCAGATTTTGTCAATGTCGCGGATATTCACCAACTCTTCCCCCGCTGGTCTGCGCAAGTGAACTGCGAGACTTCTTGTAGGCGGGACGTCATCGTCTTCCCCAACATAAACCACCGCCACCTCGTTCGCTGTCGGGATGTCGTATTGTCTTCTAGTGAGTCCCTGTTCCCTGCTTTCTCCGAATATCATTCTGATGTTGACCGGACGACGATTTTCACTCTCTGCTAAGGCGATCTCAGCTTGCTCGACTTCACTCATCATTTTGAAATGATTGAGCGTAGGCGTTGGTGTTGGAAATCAACTCGCTCAGGAATCGCATCAACTCAGGATCACAGTCAGCATTTCTGGCATTTCCGAGACGCTGTTGAGCGGCCATTTCAGTGTCTAGAATATATATTTGTCCGTATTGTCGTTCTTCGCCTTCTTGTGGATGGAGTGGTCCTATTCGATGATATACTTGCCCGTGAATGCGATAACAATAAGGGCCCCGGCCTCGAAACGTATCGACTTGAGCTCCCATCGACGCCATTGCTAACGCCGAATTGAAGCTTCTGATGTTGTCCATAAAATTTTTCTGGATGCGCTGCTGCTCCTCTGTATCCGTAGATCTTCGGACGAACAAACTACGCAGTTCATCAGGAAAGTCTTCGAAAAAGTTCAAGTTGAATCGGCCCAAGTTACAGCATTGGAGAAATCGATCTGGATGTTGCTGTTTAACTTCGCACAGAAAATGAAGCGCACCACAGTTCCTACACCTATAACCTAAACCACCCAGGTAGTTGGGCTCTGTGATGCGATCTCTTAAGGCCACTTCAAGCATTTCGGAAGTACGATTGCGCACTCTTCGGTGTCGCTCTGCATCGTTAAACAATCGAACACGTCTGTTCTCTGAGCCTTCGTCTTCACGCCTTTGTTGGTGACGATCGCTATCTAAAGATAGTCTGCGTCTTCGCTCTTCACTTCCTTCAGATTCTCTCCTTAGCCGTTGCCGGTCCGCTTCATTCTGCTGTCGTGCAACGCGCTCCGGAACGCTTTCTTCGTCTCGTCTTCTCCGCTGACGCCTTGCATTGTTCTGTTGCCGTCTGACCGCTCCTGACTGCTTTCTCCTTCACGTCTTATCCGCTGACGTCCTGCGTTGCCCTGTTGCCGTCTGATCCGCTCCTGACTGCTTTCTCCTGCCCGTCTTTGGCGCTGACGTTCTGCATTGTTGTGTTGTCGTGCGACCCGCTCCTGACTGCTTTCTCCTTCTCGTCTTATCCGCTGACGTCCTGCGTTGCCCTGTTGCCGTCTGATCCGCTCCTGACTGCTTTCTCCTGCCCGTCTTTGGCGTTGACGTTCTGCATGGATCTGTTGCCGTGCAGCCCGCTCCTGCCTGCTTTCCTCTTCCCGCCTTCTCTGCTGTTGCGCTGCATTTGTACGCAAGCGAGAAGCTCTTTCTTGAGACGTTTCTCTCTGGCGTCTATTTCGTTGACGTTCATTGCTGCTCCCATGAATTCTTGGTCGGCCTCGCTGCCTGTGCAGTTCTACTTCTCGTGCATTATCTAAATCAACACTTCACTAACTACTGACACCAACCGAAAAATTTGTTTCACTCTAGGTAGGCGGTTAGAGCGAGCGTAAATTTGTGAGATGACGCTTGGTAGAATATGAGACGATCAAACCCTTGGTATGCAAAAGTGGTAGAGAGCAAACCAACGGGTTATTAAGCTTATCGGTTTCCGATATGTGGAATATCCTAATCAAAATTGTTCATCAAAGAAAGGAGTAAAAGCGATGAAGAAAAGAATACAGCGAAAATATCAGTCGGAGCAATGTTGTGACTGTCTCTATTGCCCAATTAGACGTCAAGAGGCCTCAGAAAACCTAACGTAAACTAAGCAGACGCGGCTAATCGTCTAGTCGCGATCGATTATGTTTTTTCTTCCAAATCCTCGCCTAATAGCATATATATGATCGCGAACTAAGTACGCTGCCCTAGTCTCAATGACAAAATTTATGAGTTCAGCAAAGGCAGACATAGATAGAAGATCACATCACATCGATGGATTCCACCAACGATAAGAAGGGGGTCTAAGCGCTCATGGCCTTGGGGGGGGGGGGGTAAGAGGGCATCTAAGTGAGTGAGGAAGGGAGCATGTGAGCAATTCGCGTTCTCCCAATGGTGTTTCGCCCCTCTGCTGGGCTTTATCACAGTCTCACTTTCTATCTGGCCTGTTTTGAATGTCCCCTTACCCTAAGGACGTGAGCGCCCTGACCTACATATATTTGGTTGGAAGATTGCAAGAGTCCGTTGCAAATCTTCCTGCATCCCTTCAGGACAACCTCACCAATGGGAAGGGGGGGGTCACGTTTGGCAACCGAAAATATAGGGCTCACTTACTAACCACCACGTGCAGATACAAAATTTAGAAAAACTTAGTTGTGTTGGAAAGTAAATGAATTGAATGAGCATAATCGCCTGCAGCTTCTACGCCCTCCATCGGTGAGTGCTCCCTGCTGCGATTCCACAGTCGACCATGGGCTTCCATTTTTTTCCGGTTACGATATTAAAGTCAGCCTATTCTGAAACACCTTCACAACCTTGAACATATTATCTAATACCAGTTTTGCTTCGCCCGCTATCGCGCGCATCACACGGAACTCGCTGAACTGGCATATTTATCTCACACTGTAAACATCTAGCATTTTTCTTGAATTAAGATAATTTAGCGGTGAATAGGATTGCTGTCAGTCTCAAAATCAAAACGAAATATGCCTATTTACATAAGTGAGGAGCTAATGCTTATCATTCATTTACATTCATCATTATTTAGAACCACGAAAGGATTAGCGGTTTAATGAGTTTGGGTTTTCTTAATAGTCAGAAATGAAACTTATCATTCGCTGAAGACTTGTTTTTTAAAATTTATGCAGTCGAATTCTATTAAGTAAGCTGGACATATATATCGGAAATAATGTGCACGTACCTTTGTTTGTACTACTACGACTTACTACAATTTGTAAGTAGGAATGTGAGTAGGAACGCTCTAAGGTTAAACGAGTTAGCCAGGGAACTAACGACTTTTGCGTTCTGGCGCGCCTTATCGGCCCTTATCAATCGTTATCAGTTTCTGGCACCCACCAACAATGTCCCCGTCCCACCCCACATAACACTTGTAAGTATGGTTGCTCTGGTGTCAACGCGAGCCAGGCAACGGAATCGACGACTTCAGCGTTCTGGCGCGCCTTATCGGCCCTTATCAATCGTTATCAGTTTCTGGCACCCACCAACAATGTCCCCGTCCCACCCCACATAACACTTGTAAGTATGGTTGCTCTGGTGTCAACGCGAGCCAGGCAACGGAATCGACGACTTTTGCGTTCTAGCGCATCTTATCAGCCATTATCAGTTGCTATCGCTTCCAATCATGTACCACCAATGTCCCGGGACCGCCCCACATAACACTTGTAAGTATAGACGCTCTTTTACCAATATGAACGGCAAAACGAAATTGGCGATGCTCGCTTTCTAGCCCCTCTTATCAGCTATTATCAGTCGTTATCAGTTCCTATCACGTACCACTTGTGTCCCATCCCACCCCCTATAACATATGTAAGAACCACTGCGCTATCGTTACTGTGACTCGAGCTATGAATTTCCGGTCAAAAACACACACACACACCAACAGACACACGCTAGCCGCTTATATATAGTAGGATTCTCGATATCGGTGAGTTGGGGTAGGGCGTGTCACCGGAAGTGACGTGCACTTGATAGAAACTATGTGGATAAGCTGCTTCCAACATACATCGCTGGCTATCAGCAAAGCATGCTGGCAACAGCTTATCCACGCACTTCTATCAAGTGCACGTCACTTCCGGTGACACACCCAGCTCAACTTTCGGATATATCAACTGTACGCTAAGATCAGTGCATAGCAATTGATTGATAGTTTGCCGAGCTTTCGTGCTCCTTTAATAGATCAGAAGGGGACGTTTTCATCTAAGGGCTCTTTCAATACGAAAGTGGAAAATTTCGGATAGAACTGTCATAGCTGGCGGCAAGTCAATGGACCTAATAATAAAAAAAATTTTCAGAATAGGAGGCAACCCTACCTTTGATAGGTAACAGTGAGAAATGATTGTACCGAGAGTGATTTTGAAAAGGAAGCAGATAAGGTGATTGCTATCTTTTATCTCGAAATCCTTGAAATGATTGCGTTTACGCAACTACACCAATAAAACTGTACAAAAAAAAATAACTTTTCCTATACTCGATATCGGTGAGTTGGGGTGGGCGTGTCACCGGAAGTGACGTGCACTTGATAGAAACTATGTGGATAAGCTGCTTCCAACATACATCGCTGGCTATCAGCAAAGCATGCTGGCAACAGCTTATCCACGCACTTCTATCAAGTGCACGTCACTTCCGGTGACACGCCTCCCCCAACTTTCGGATATCGACTGTAGTCAAAATCGTATTGCGAAAGCTTCTGTAAGACGATTTTCTGAAGCGAGTAGGGAAAAGCGGCATAAAAAGAGAGTGTGTTTTCAGGTGCTCTGCCTAGGTCACCTAGGCACAGCACCTGAAAGCAATTCGATTTCGCTATATCGCTGGCCTTGAGCGTACTTCATACAATTCCAGTGGAGGTGTTTCTGGGAAAGCTGACTGGATGCAAGTTAAACTGGGATGCATTTGCTGAATTGACTCGTATCTGAAGTGCATGTACCTTAGGAGTGTTTGCGGTCTATGCGTCGACGATGTTTTCATAGCCAGTCGATACATCACCTAAAGAATCCATAGGCGACGAACTACTTGAATGCCCGGATTCTAATTTTTCTATAATTGAATTTCGACCTCTAATTAATCGAAGGTAGAGCTTCGTTCACCGCAAAAATGCGTCCTGTATCTCAAACTTATGAAACACCGCCCAGCTTCATACAATATCAGACTCAATCGAACACTTATCACAACCTCTGTGGAGAGGTGAGAAATGCAAGCCTCGTTTGAAGAAGATATGTTAACAAATACACCTCACCTTGTGAAGTGGGCTGTGTTGACGGCAAAATATTCGATTACCCTACTACCATAACGCTGTAAATAGCCGCCAATTATTTTGGAGTTAGATAGCTCAGCGGTCGAATAAGGTTTTCCGCTATTGATATTGGAATGAGAATGAACGTGCTCACTCAATAGGCATCCAATGTCTTATACTCTAAGTTTCCATCTATCTGTAATGAATTCACTATTGACCGGCGGTTCAGAGATAGTTTAGGTGGCTCAAAAAGTTTGCTCCCGTAAGCACCAATCACCCTAATCAGTTGCACGCATAGAGACGGTCATCAATGTCATCATGTGAGGTTAATGATGAAATTGGTGAATTTTCAGTAGGTTACCGCTCGAGCTCCTAACCGACATTTTGACCATTATTCCGCAAAAGCCGCAACCATCAAACCGCACCTAATAGTTACCACTTTGCAAATGTCACCACTTTACGCGTGACACGGAAGGCTTCAACAAAACTGACAGCTGGTGGAGCGTTAAGTTTAACCGCTAAAGAATAGCCGCTTTGTTTAATGCGTCGGCTGTCCGTTGCATAGGCTGCTCATTTCGGCTGAATCTCACTGTTTGATAAGCGCAGTGAAGTGCACAGCTAAAGTGATGTATGTAAACAACCACCATGCATCGAGTATCAGGATAATTTAGCGGTCGAATAATATTTGATGTTGTCGAAATGGAAAACCCCGTACTCATTATCGTATTTATCCGAGAATCTCGATCACCCTTAGAAGCCTGGAAAGTGTAGCGGTTGAAAAGAGTATCAGATTACATGACAACGCCAAAGAAATGATATTGATGCATTATCTAGAAACTGCTCAAGTGAACTCCACGTAGTACACTTTCTTTTACTATCAGGTCTTTGATCAATTCGCTCATCACTTTCTGGCCTAACAAATATTGTCCCCCCTCATGCCTTTAAAATACAGCGTTCCATGGCTGCCTCACTGCCGCTGAGACGCGCGCCATAAATTTTTCGTGTAAAATTTGCCTTTCAGCGCCTCTTATCACCCCTTATCGGCCCGTTATCACTTTCCGACCCCCACCAAATATGTTCCCGTCCCACCCCCTATATCATGTCCCAAAATCAGCTCCTGACGACTGCTGCGAAGCGCACTATGAATTTCGTGAAATTTGTGTTTCAGCGCCTCTTATCTGCTCTTATCAGTCGTTATCACTTTGTGACCCCCACCAAATATGTTCCCGTCCCACCCCCTATATCATATCCCAAAATCAGCTCCTGACGACTGCTGCGAAGCGCACTATGAATTTCGTGAAATTTGTGTTTCAGCGCCTCTTATCTGCTCTTATCAGTCGTTATCACTTTGTGACCCCCACCAAATATGTTCCCGTCCCACCCCCTATATCATGTCCCAAAATCAGCTCCTGACGACTGCTGCGAAGCGCACTATGAATTTCGTGAAATTTGTGTTTCAGCGCCCTCTTATCTGCTCTTATCAGTCGTTATCACTTTGTGACCCCCACCAAATATGTTCCCGTCCCACCCCCTATATCATGTCCCAAAATCAGCTCCTGACGACTGCTGCGAAGCGCACTATGAATTTCGTGAAATTTGTGTTTCAGCGCCTCTTATCTGCTCTTATCAGTCGTTATCACTTTGTGACCCCCACCAAATATGTTCCCGTCCCACCCCCTATATCATATCCCAAAATCAGCTCCTGACGACTGCTGCGACGCGTGCTATGAATTTTGTGAGACTTGCGTTTCAGCGCCTCTTATCACCTCTTATCAGTCGTTATCACTTTCCGACCCCCACCAAATATGTTCCGTCCCACCCCCCATATCATGTCCCAAAATCAGCTCCTGACGACTGCTGCGAAGCGCACTATGATATTTCGTGAAATTTGTGTTTCAGCGCCTCTTATCTGCTCTTATCAGTCGTTATCACTTTGTGACCCCCACCAAATATGTTCCCGTCCCACCCCCTATATCATGTCCCAAAATCAGCTCCTGACGACTGCTGCGAAGCGCACTATGAATTTCGTGAAATTTGTGTTTCAGCGCCTCTTATCTGCTCTTATCAGTCGTTATCACTTTGTGACCCCCACCAAATATGTTCCCGTCCCACCCCCTATATCATATCAAAAAATCAGCTCCTAACGACTGCTGCGACGCGTGCTATGAATTTCGTGACACACGCACACACACACACACACACGTACAGACAGACATAGCGTTTTATATATAGTAGGATCAAGTTAGCAACGATCCACCGAGAAACGCAAAAATGACCAAACTAGTCACTTGAAATGGCATACTATGTCACAACATATTTTTTTTATTTCCTTCGCAAGACCTACCAAATTTTAGTACTATACAGAGTGTAGTTATCAATTTACACGTCCCTTTCGCTTAAAAAGAAGCCTTATAACCGCCTTCGCCAGCTGTGTGTTGACTGGACCTTGGCGTTGACAGTTGGAGCCACCTTATAACTTTCTTCAAATATGACGAAATTTCAATCTGGAAGCAGATTGGGAGTTTTGTGGAAGAGCTCTTTCTAATCAGTGTTGAAATTAACAGAAAAATTCAAGAAATAACAAATTTAGATCAAATAACGAGGAAAATTCGATGATGAGCACGAGTTTTTACACTTTCCGAAGCCATAACTTGCTTCATTTCGTCAAATCTGAAAAGTTAATATGTCATACAAAACTAGAAGATTTTCTCTATCAAACGGTCGCTAAAGCAGCTTCATACGTCCAGTACTCAAAAAATGGCCACGTTGAGGATTTTTGCAAAATTAACGAGGAAAATTCGTGATGAGTGCGAGTTTTTACGCTTTCCAAAGCCATAACTCCGTTCAAACTCATCAATCTGGAAAGTTTAATACGTCATCATAAACTAGAAGATTTGCTCTATCTATCGCATGGTAACTGAAGATGCTTCACGTCCAGTCCTGCGAAAATTTCCACTGGTCCGAGGATTTTTTCCCTGAATAACTGCCGAAAGCCTTCTTCGCTGCAGTGGCACTACTTCAAACGACTATAGGTGCCTTCAGGAACAATTTCGTACAAAAGTGAGAGCAGGCTAGGAACCAGCGAGCTTTTTCCTTTCCAACAAGTGTAAAATTGTCTGACGAATCTCAACTTCAACACTTATATGTTCATAAATTTGACGCTGAGAGCTGCATTTCTTGTTTATCAGTGGACTCCTCCCTGTAATTTCACACCGACCCTTTCAGAATCGTCTTGATTTTTCCTGAATTGAGATTCTTTCTCCAGAGAGCCCGTAGTTGAAGCGCGCGCAACCAACTGGGTCCACTCTGGGATGCGCCGTGTGCTTCACATACCTTCAGATTTAAAGGACTCAAACGATAAAATAACGTGCGAAAACTGTGGCGAAATTCTCGGATGCATATCTTCACTTGTTGTGATGATAAAACATTGAAAGTATTTAAGAACTGGCTACGAAACCTTGAAATCACGAAGTTTTTTGTGGGCGAAATACACTTGTTTCTTTCTTGAATCCGTCGGCCTGGCTCGACTTGCGATGCGTGAATGTATGCCCTCCGCCGGTGATTGATCATGCTGCATCACTCCGGCCCCCGATCCTTACCTCCGAGCGGCCATACGACCCCCCGTGCGTGTCAAAGGATTCCTCCACGCAAGTTGATGGTTGCAGGCCCGTAAAGGACTAGCGCCTTAATGCCCGCAACTTTGTGCGACGAAGCTGGCATGATCTATGTACGTACGGATCCAACATTTCCCTCGCGGTATCCTTCCTACTAGTCGGGCTAATCCCGGGGTTTGCCTTTGAGGTCTTTCTTCACTATCATATCAGGAACCGATCACACCGTTTACGAAATTCCGTTAGACCTCATGGACAGCCGCGAACTGTCGCTTGGTCCATATATTACCCTCGCACTCGGTATGATAGATATGCATATTGCGTATACGCTAATACATTTATTCGGGGAGCGAATGTGCAAGCGCGTCATTGCTCCTTGAATCCTCCAACAGTAAAGAGCAATAACGAACAACGCGTGTTATTTTTAGTGAAGCTACCAGAACGGCAACTATCACGCGTGAAGTCAACGTACAATGACGATGACACAACCCACAAAGATTCCTCAAAGATGACAAAGAGTAAGTGTGGTTGACCATTCTCTTGTTATTTACTAGTTAGTGCTGTGTAAGTTATTCAAGTCAGTGCTGAAGTCAAAGCCAAGCGTTTTTTGGGGAACAGGTCATAAACAACATTCCGACTTCAGTACCAACGAACTTCCGAGGTGGCATCGGCGCAGCGTAGTTTTGAGTCCGTATTTTCGACTGTTTAATTAGCGTCTTTTACTTTTAGCTAATTTTCCGTTAATGTTCGTCGTACTTGCTTCAGCCTCGACAAACGCCGCATCATTGGCTTCCTTTGCCGGCCACGCTTAAGTTTTTAGTGTACAGCTTCCCACTAACAGATCTCACATCCCTGCTTTCATAAGTATCTCCTCACAATTCCACAGCCTTAGATCGCGTTTCTTTTTCGCTTTCTGTATCCGCATGGTCATCTCTGTGAGTACGCTACTTGGGGTGATGCGAGCACCTGTACACCTTCTGTTTTCAGAACCAAGAAAGCAAACGCCACGATCAGGGAATGACGCGTTATCGAAGAGAGGACGACCACGAAACGACGCTTTTTGATGACTCGTTCTTCGACAATCCTCCGATGGAAATTGTTAAGAAACCAAAGAATAGACGGAAGCATGCTCGGAACGAAGACAACTTCCAAAGTCCTGGAACATTGCAGTGATGTCAACAACACTCAACCTAAAGCATTGTTTCCACGGGATCACGGCCACACTCCTCCATCGAAGATTCCATACATAAACTGGCGGCAGGGATGAGCTCAGAAAACGCTAGACACACGCCTAAACCGAGTGATTTGTGGAGCATTCCGTTCAGCTACACATTCGGCACACTGAAAAGCACGGAAGGGCAGGTAAGATCGGTGGCGGACCATCCAAGTAGGGTACCCCTAAGGAGGCCCGTCGTGCGGCAAGAGGCAGAGTCGCGGACGAGGTTCAACAGCGCGAATGTTGCGATGTAACGTACTAATGGAACATTCTCTTGCAACTTTGACGCGAGTACTACACGTACGCGCGTCAACCTCGTCGCTGACTCGCCCTACTTGTCGGCGCGACGGGCCTCACTGGAAGGTCCTATCCAAGTAGGACGCCATCAAATTTTTTACACTTGACTGATGAATCATATTTCCTTCTTTCAGTGTGAGTGGAATCCTGGTCGAAAAACCGAAGTTCCTCTTCGTAGATTCGAGCCTGTCGTCGAAGTCACTGCGCTTCCTGGCCAATCCAAGATGGAGTACTCGTAAAAATCGATGCAACTTTACGACATCACAAATTGGAAGATGATTGCTAGATTGGTATGGTTAAAGCTCTCAGAATCATAAAAAATTCTCGAATCTCTTGCCTGGATATTTTCGACAGTTCTATTTTCAGCTTCATCAAAATCATCGAGAAATTCCGAGCAAGTCTCGCGTACAGATCTTGATCGATGCCGAGACTTTTCTCGCCTATTCCGAAATGCCACATTTGTTCGTCTACATGCTTGGGTGGGTGTTTTCATTCGAAGAAACCAAGAGAGAACTAAAGAAATTAGAATGAACTTCGAAATAGAAGCGGAACAAACCTGCCCATAGAGTACATCTCAAATCAACAGTTCATCACATATTGCGCCAGCGAGAAACTTGTCCATAAAACTCCCTCCCGGTTTCTTTTAAACCTCTCAGAGTGCAATCAGTGCCGCTGCGTAATGAGATTAATACATTCTGACTTGTACATCGGCTAGTTCATCAATCAAAGGTTAGATCAATCAGCCCGCTACGGTATTCTGAATGGAACGTGGAGTTCGTGGCGCATTCAAAAGATAGCTAATAAGTGTTCAATGCTTCCTCCTTCCAGTCGCAGTGCAGTGGATCTGAAAGTGATCCACTTGTTATTAACGGACATTCCTCTCCGATGTCATTTGATGAGTGCTTTTGGAATTTTACTCATGTCAACAATCCTTAGCCATTTTGTCTCTGTGAAAACATTGAGGGAAACGGTAGAAAATTCATCCAGACTCAAGACCTCGCCCACTGGCGAAAACATCGTTAACCAAAAAATTGGATATCGGTTGTCCTTATCGAACTTCTGCACGCGAATAAATGAACAGTCGATGAATCATTTTATTACTTCATAGTTTCACCAGAGTTTCGGTTACTTAAAATAATTGGGCAATAGCATTCAACAGTAGCACCGAAGTATTGATACGAGTTATTTCAGATATTTGGCTGATGAGCAAGACCTGGGAGTGGCTCTAATAGGAATGAATGCGATTCATCGCCTTTTGGACTCATTTCGTGGAGTCGATCTTCCGGAACTTCATTTATATTTGGCCCCAGTGATCGCTCAGCTCGATAAACTCCTCGATGACAGCCAAACCGACACGGAACTCGCTGCTTTGTGGCTTATTGACCCTACAAGGTATTTCCAACAAGTCTATAAGATATTGTTAAGGAGTTATATGATTCTGCTTTTTAGATTATCAAAGCTTTATCAACTAAGATGTATAACCAATCGCCCTACCTGCGATCACACCAAACTCAGGTGTGCAGTTATGACTTCAGTCACAGCGCTTCTTTTTCCAGGAGCGAAGGGTACAGCGTTTAACTAGTGCCTCACGCTTTGGGATCGCTGACCTTCCGCTTTCCCCTTCTTCCGACTAAAATTTTTATTTCTTCTAATAGAGTGACAGGGGAGCGTTATGCCAGTTTTGTTCCACTTACGTTCCTGGAGAACTAGAGGGCAGGGCCATAACTAGCAAAGTCAGTAGCAAAAAGAGACTGCAACCTTTTGAGGGAGTGTTTACATTTTTCGAGAAAAGTGAAAAGGAGCCAAGTGAGAAGGAAATGCGAATTCGTACTCATACAGATATTGCTACGCAACAGCTTTATTCTTGAAGACAGATTTCACGATGAAAAGGCAACCCATTGGAAGTTAGGTTACGGATGGTCAGTGATGCACGAATGAAGAGCAAACCGAGAAAATGACCCGGAATTCGAGAATTCGCGCATTTATAAGACTCTCATCAGTGCTGCCCTCTTAAAGGCTAACGCTCTCTGACTAATGGCTAGAGACTCAGATACGAGACGACGTTTAGAGAGGCGTCCCAGGCAACAGCGCGCCAATTGGAGCTGAGGAGAAGCCCCATGCTGAAACTCGCGCGGGGGCAATATATCGTATGGCGAACCCGTGTCGGTCCTGCACCATAAGAGGTCCCGCTGTCTTTCTCCTAATGGTAAGTAACTTTCCCCTTCTTCGACCTTATCGTGAAATCTCCCTTTAGCTGTCAATAACTCTCGGTTTCTTCAAGGTTTCTGTCGTTCGATCTTCTCTATAAGCGCTACCTCAGCCATTTACATAAACGTGCACAAAAACCATCAACGTAAAGCTATTCTGACTCTTCTCACCTGAATAGAAAGGTGACTTCCGCTGTGTTCGGTTACATCAGTCTGAGTAGCAACAGCAGACGTTAGCATAGATAGAAAGGTCACATAGCGTCTGGAGACGAACTTCATTCTATCGAGAGTTTCATACTTTCACAACTATTTGAAAGCTCAACATCATACCTGGTGTTTTTGGGTGGGTCATGTCGTCGGTATCTTGAAGAATCTTTGGCTGCCTAGAAAGATTAAAAACTGTGACATCAGGCTCGACGTTGGATGGTATCCCCAAATTCGCTGCATGACGATGTGCACAAGCAAGTGACGGCCGTGTGTCATTTCCTCTTCACTCACAATGCCACTCGTGAGGTTAGAGTTTTTAGCTCTCATAGTTTTTTCGGATAAATAGCTTGTGATCGCCTGCGTTTCTGAAAGAACTATATTTTGTATTCTGTTCAGGAATCACTTCTGGAGGTCCAGCTGAAGAGTAGAGGTACTCAGTGGTCGACTGCAGTCCAGCTGGCAGGCTGCTCTCGAGGTGATCGAGTCGTCAAATTGGCTGCCCAGCAATTGTCGCTAGCGAAAAACCAGCAATTTTCGGCCTCTACCGCAGGTTTGTCCGCCCTAAATGATGTTGGTTACAGCCAAACCAGGCTGTTTTCTTCGAGAAGTTTTTTTTTATGTTGGAAGAATTCCCGAAATTCCTGCCATCTTCTTTCATAAAGTGCATTAATCCTGAGTTTCAGTCGGATTTCTCTTTGCACTACAACGCAAGGTTTCGAAGAGCACTCTGGACGCAAATTGGCAAAATGACAGCTGAGGAAAGAAGTTTGCTGTTTTCTGCCGACGAAGTCGATCCGCGTCCCGCCTCCAAAATACTGGTGCACTCCATCAGGACCCTTGACGAACTGAGTCAGGTACTGGCCAACATAGTTATTTTCTATTTCTGCATTGGAAGGAACACACCGTGCTTCCAGTGAAAACGCTGTTATGCTAGTCGCCTTTCTCGAAATCCTAGTGTTTACAGTTTCCTACACCCTCCATTGACATTCCCTTGACTTTCTCATTATCAGATAGTTTCCTATAGCAGGAGTTGCCTGAAGATGGGTAAAGAGCTTTGCGCGTACGGTGTAATTGTGTCCAAAGAGGCAACAGTACCTAGATTACTCTGCGCTGAGTACTTTCTAATGTACCATTTTCCAATTCTAAGCCGCGCCTTCTTCAAGCCAATCTGGTCGTGTTTGAAAGCACATGCAGCACCTGTCATTCGAATTTAACTACGTTTGTCCGTTGATTTGCTGTTTGTTTGCTGGCTGATTTTGCCCTGATGCGTTTCATCGGTGAGTACAAGTGGATCAATTCCTTGGTGGGTGGGATAGAGCAGTCCTACTCAAGTCGCAGATGTCTCGTTCTCCTGGCTCTTGATATCTGAGCGATAAGGACCCAGACCCTTCCAATGATTGTTTTGAATACATTCGCAGCGTATGGGCGAATGTCTGCGCGCTCTCACTATTGTGATCTCTTCTATTCTCTTTTTTACTTCTTCTTACTGCCACTTCGCACTTCTTATTGGCTTCTTTCAGTCGAGTTTCAGATCGAGTGGACACTGGATTTCAGCGTTTTTCATGGATTCTTTCCCTTTTTTCGTGAGCTCGGCTTTTAATCAGTGGAGAGGTGTGTGCATGTGGAACAAACGGGGTTTTTTCCCGGCTGGCTCTTGCAAAGGAAACGAAACAAGTCTTGAAGGCAGTGATCACAATGGCTGCGATGGCTGGAGGGCGTTGTGGTTTTGATAACTCCACTGGACGTTATTGGTTGAAGGGCATTAATACCAACCATACCCCGCGCTTAGGGGTTGAGTAAATCAAAGAATTTTAATGAGGTCACCAAAACCGCACTGCACTCCAGCCATGCGCTGTCCCTCAAGAAGTTCGCCATCGTGTAGAAGATGTTACTCGCACGACCCGTTTTTGCGTAGCTATTCCAACGCTTTCGCTGGATGAAGGCGTTCATTGTCTGCTTTAGCAAAGCTTTCGAAGCTCCTCACAGCAGTTCCTACTTTAGTCATGTTCTAGCCTTTCCTTACCTAATATCCACACAAGCTTGTCGAGTGATTTACATAATATTGGGCTGATCCATAATTTTTGGCCGAATTTCGACACTTTCATTTGATTGAGTTTTTTCTTTTCTGGAGAATAACTGATCAACAATATAACCACCGTCGCAATCGCTGATATGCGTTCATTTGCTAGGCAGCGAATGGATGCATTCCTCTCAAAACGAGTGGAGCTATGGGATGAAGAGTTCGGAGAGGTCGTTTTTTGGGTGGTTGTATTCAGTGACCCCTTTCTCTCGAAGGTACTGCTTCAGGGCATCGAGAAGGGATAGTGCGATGAAGTAATGTTAGGACTATACGATAGATGTGGTATCGCGATCCAGCCAGTTTCCTCAGAAGGTGGCGAGTTATCTTCGCAATGTAAGGTCGGGCGTTCATCCGGAGGAAGGAGATTTTGAGACGTTTCGAATGGTTCTCTCGCACTGCTGCGGCCAACCTCGGGAGTTATTCCATGGTTATCTTCGCAGTGGTTGTCTATATAAGATGAAGCGTTCTCAAAGTGGGATACCCGACCAATCCTACAAATGGGGGTAATATTCTCTGACGAAAGAGGTCGGGTTTTGGGTGAGATGGTGGGTTCATGCTGCGAGATAGCCATAAGGCGTGCCGCGTGTTGTTGTCGTAGTGGACTCATGACTCATCTCCACTGGTGACCGACTAGGGAAAGTCCAGGCTATGCCTGCGCAGAATGAAATTTCTGCAGATGGTCAGGTCTGCTTCTCGGTCATGGTCAGAGATGCATGCCGTTCCCATCGAAACTTCATTCTGCTACAGCCCGTTTCATTCAGACAGCTTGCGGTGGTGCATCGGCTGTGCCCAGGTATCTGCTACAAATCTCAGGTGGTAGCGTCCGGGTGAACTTCCGATTCACAGCGCAATGGATCCTCATCGAAAGTGACTGGGGGCTTAGGATGAGGTCAAACTTTGCAGCTTGTATCGCCTTTGCCGATGCTTTCAAGCCAATAGCCCAGTGCCCGATCAGTAGCAAAGACTGAGGCAAACACAGCGCTGGTCTTGCCTACTGCACTCCTTGCAAGGTTCTTCTTTAAATGATCGTTAAGCATAATCGCCTGCTTTGGTCGTTGATCCATTTCGATCCCTACTTACTTATTCCACTGCCCTTTGACCTTCTGGAACATCCTAGTTTAAGGTACTGATGCCTCCTTCAACATACTAACTTATTTCGTAATGACACTAATTTGACATGAAGAAAATTGATTCTGAAAAAATTCGGCCAGGAATTATGGATCAACCCAATACATAGACCAGCACTCGCAGGTTTTGTGAGCTTACGAATTGCGGAAAGATCGGGTAACATTTGTTGCAGAACCCTTGAAGAATTCGAAACTATCTGTGAATCAAGATACTTTTCTAGAAATATAATACATTATACTATTTCGGAAGACGAGAAGAAAATCGAGTGCAGACCACACATCATAAGAGACGACGGCCAAGAGAAAAGCGGCTTTTTCCTTGGCCGTCGTCTCTTATGGTGTGTGGTCTGCACTCGATTTTCTTCTCGTCTTCCGAAATCGAGGGTACAGGTTCTGGGTGACGCAAAGGTAATAAATGGCAAGTGATTCGTCTTACCCAGGGGTCAAATCTTGACCTAGTCATTCACCGTTCGAGTAATCGCATTCATGTGCTATACGATCTCGAACAAGAACTATTATGTGCAACGCGCATTCGACATCCAATGAATGATGCCTGAACATTTTCTCGTTTTTCCTTTTAACTTCTATAGGAGACGGATCCAATTTGATTAGAAAAGTCTTGGGTGGAGGAAAAAATGCTCATTTCAAAAATAAAAATGATATGTCCTACCCTATTTTTCTCATATATTCAAGACTGCACTAACAAAGAAGTAGAAGTATTTCAGGTGCGATCATTGGTGGAGAGCTGGGACAGAAGATGTCCAAGCATTTGGAATACATTGAACGTCATTTGCAATGGAAACTTCGTGTATCACGTACATCCTTGCGAGAGTTCTTCTCTAACCATGCCACAATTTAGTCTGCCACAATGTTCGTGCCAACCAAGAAGTACGAATAGGCGGTTTTCCACAAAACCGTCTCCTCAAATACCGCTGCTTCATTTAAAAACTCCGAATGTTTTATTTTTTTACCAAGTCCAGGGAGGGACTGCCGAAATAGATCCCACTTCTTCGGTTGGTCACAAATTTCTCGCAAAATAGCCAGCAGATTCTTTCATTTTCGTTCTATTTCAAGGCCAAGCACATCTGCTTTAAGAAGGTGATATACTGACCAAATAACAATGAGGGTATGCTTGTTCAGAAAACGGGTCTCGTCGCCTAAACTGGATCCTTTGAATCGACCAATCTCACTTCCGAAATCCATGCTCGGCGGCGAGCATATTTGATGTACCTGACAAGAGCTCAGCAACTTGGGAAACCGTAGCCACAACTTACACTTATGCTCTCGTAGCTCAATTCCTCTAACCCAGGAAATTAAGTAGCTCTTGGCAGGTACGGCTTTTCATTCCTTTTTGAATTAATAATAGAGCAAATCCCTCTAAAATTTACAATTACTTAAAGGAATCTTCCACGGAAAAAGCTCCGCCCCATTACCACAGAAAACGATACCTTAAAGGAATCTTCCACGGAAAGAGTGATCATTTTGTCTTGTGTGTAGGATTAGTATTATCGAAACTAAACGCTTATGTTCCGTTCTTTTTGCTATGCTCATGAGGCTAGGGGCCTAAGGGGTATCGTTTTTCTAGGGTAATGGAGGCGGAGCTTTTTCCGCGGAAGATTCCTTTAAACGATGCAGATTTGATTTTTTTTTATGTTGTAACGATCCCTTTGTGCTTTTCGAAAAGGCTTTATTGCACTAATATTCTTGCAAAGGGTAGTCTGTGATCCATTTGTGTATTGTATTCGTTTCGATGATTCGCTAGTGATTCCTTGCAATATACCATTTATTATTATATAATATTTCTGCTCTAAAAATGTGTACCTCAGTGATCAACATTTATATTGATAAAGATAATTATTTTTCCTGTTTTTCTTTATCAGTAGAAATCAGTTAAGGCACAAAATTTGAAAGCATCACAGGACACAACACAGACAATGTTAACAAAGAAGATCGTTCAAAGCTTTTCAAATGGTTTCTTGCATGATATAGGGGCACATGCAGAACCACAGAACCATGGTTCCGTTTTTCCTGAACGGCCCTCTGAATACCAAAAAGGGGTCCCTAGTTCGATTCCTCGTGGTGACAAATTTTTGCATTTCGAGTTGACGTTTCAAAATTCGCGCAAAATGGAGTTAGCATGAATAATTAGTACCATATTCATGATTAGGACCGTCAGTAACCCTTTAAAATAGACTTTGATTTAAAAAACTGGTGGGAAAAGTTGTGACATCACAGTGGGGCCTGTTTGGTGTCACTTTTTCACACCATTTTTAAATCAAAGTCTTTTTGTAAGGGTTACTCACGAATCCTAATCATGAATATGGAATTCATTATTCATGCTAAACTCCATTTTGCGCGAATTTTGAAACGTCAACTCGAAATGTCGTCACCACGAGGAATCGAACTAGGGACCCCTTTTCTGGTATTCAGAGGGCCGTTCAGGAAAAATGAACCATGGTTCTGTGGTCCCCATATGTGCCCCAATGTCATGCAAGAAACCATTTTGAAAAAGCTTGGCACACCCTGAACGACCTCCTTTGTTAAATACGCGCTCTGAATAATTCAACAATCTTGGCTCGCTCTAAGAATGTTGCCACCCAACAGCTTCAGCTCTTGTTGGGTTTGCGATCGAGAGACGCTTCACCCTCCCTGCGTCTCGAGTCGGGCTCTCATCCGCCACTGCTATCTCGTCTTCGTCGTAAAATCTTCATCATCAATCGTCGTCCATCGCCTCTCTGCTTATAATCAGCCTTATTATGCGTGATGAACACTTCGTTTATAAAGGACAACCTGAAGCGGTTGTCAGTAATAGATTTGAACACTCGACTTTGGGCTCAAAAACACTGGGTATGTTGAACGGCCCATGGAATAGAAGAGGTGTTGAAGCAAGGTGATAACGATCAAGAGTAATGTACTGGCAGAGAGCGTGACTGACAGGAAAATCCTCCACGAGTCGTCGACAAGTCCTCGACTCATTTTCATTCCGGTGTGAAGGGTGCAAGGAAACCAAGAAGAACGATCCGAAACCCATATATAATCATTTGCCACTTCTTCTCATCTTGATTCTCGCGCAAACCAGAGCAATAACTGATGCTAGCTCATCGACCTGAACGTACTGCCCGCCTTTCCGCTAAAGCAGCCAAAGCGCCTACGGATAGGAGCCAGCGACTTGGCAGCCAATCGAAGGAGTAAGACGCTCTTAAACGTCAACGGCACGGAGAGGTCTCCATTAGCGTCCTCATAGGCGCGTTTATTGCAGCAACCGCCAACCTATTCGTTGTTCTAGACTCCCCTCTCAAAAGGAAAGCCATATTTCCCCTGTTGAACATTTAGTTTGTTGCACCCACCACCTTTGAAGGGTGAAGGATATCGCCTGGTAGCCAAACTGCGGCAGTTGCTGCATATATACTAACCTTGCCCAAAAAATACTTTGGAGAATCACCCACTATCCAAGTCGACATTTCGACCCATCTTGCAAATAGTAGATTCACATTATCTCTGAACGATGAACAGAAATGATATACTGTCAACAGGCACAACCCTTCAATTATCCATGGCACGCAACAAGCACCGGCATTCCGTTCAAATGCGGTATACTGTTGATAATAAGGCAAAATCACTGGAACGCATTCGATACTTTTGACGAAGGCAGCTGGGACGAGGTCAACCGTGTGTTCGCGACTATTCGAACGAGGCTCGCATTTGTGGTTGGATTTTGGAAAAGGGGTCGCACTGCAAGGGGTGGTGAGTGGGATTAGTAATGTTGTTGGTGGTGGGAATTAGCCAAAAATTACCGTATTCCATGCACATGTAATGCACAGTCTTCGTTGCATGGATACCGCCCTCCACCGCCCCCCTTTTGCAAGGGGGCGGTGCTGACGTGTGTCGACTGACACAATCAAATACTGTAGAAACATCCATTGACTGGTGAGGGGCGGTTGGGGTAGGCTAGGCAAGGTTTGTATTGGGGGAGCCTCCTGAGTCTCATGATGGTGGTGGAGGGGTCGTATCGAGACCAGGGTGAAAATCGTGTCGAGGACGTGGTCGCGGAAGTGCGACCCCCTCCCCTGAAGTCGAGGTCTTAGCACGACCCCCTTAGCAATTATTTATTAATCTATTCAAAAAATTCGCTTTCATCTTGTACTGTTTTTAGCTGCGTCCCACTCATAAAGGTAGAGGATGGAGCGACTGAACCTGCAAAGAATATTTTTATATCATGTTTTTTTTTCACATATCTTTTCTGCTGCGCTACACCCTCTTACTCCTATCTGCACCACGATACCACTGCTGTTACTGACCCCCAAGAGTACGACCCCCCATGACCCAGCCCGACAGGTACGACCCCCCTGTCGAGGATTTCCTCGACCGATATTCACCCTGGATCGTAAGACCTCCCCTGAAGGAGGATCGCGAAAGTTCCGAAAATTTGCGGACGTTACGGTTGACCCTGCTGGGACGTCAAAAAGTGGGATCTACTTTGGCGACTCATAATAACGTGCCGAAGCGCTAGGTTTATACCTATGGATTGTATTGCTCGCACTCACACCCATGCACGCCACTGATCGCAAGTCGCGCGCCTCGCTTGCCGCTACGGTCCACGTGCTCTCCGATTGTGCTCCATCGCTTCGTCTCCTGGACTGCCTGCACTTATTTCGTACACCCAACCGGTCAACCGCCCGAAAATCCTTTATTTTTGGTGCTTTTGGCGAGTCGCGGATGCGACGGTTGCCCGTGGGCGCACCGTGCGCCCCGGCCCATTCGCGCTCGGATGCCAATGCGCAATGCGCCGCGCAATGCGCCCATTGCGTCATTGGCTCCGCCCCTACGGTCAGTGCCAGCGGGCAGTCGTCGTGTGTGCCTTACGGCGAGCGGTGACCTGCCTTGCCTCGGACGTCCCCTATGTCTACCTAGCTGTCAGGTGAGTGTATTGAATGGCGTTGAGCCCCCTAGCAGTTGAGGTGCTAATGATGAAGTGTCTAATACGTGTCCCAGTGCTGGCATCCAGGGGTTGGTCGGTGTTCACCGGGCAACGCGAGGAGGCCCCGGAAGGCGAGGAGGGATGTCCCCTCCGAGCTGGAAGGTTGCGGAGCGCCACCCGTTAACTGGTCGTGGTCCCTCCCCTGCTCCCCGTCTGGGAGCAGCCTGGTATCGCGCCCCGTCTCGGACCCGCTGACCGTGCGGGCCCCCTAGAAGTGTAACATCCGAGCGGGATGGGGGTCTAATACGTGCAGTCAGCTGGCCTGGTCTGCCCTTGAGCGAGGTGGCCGAGGGAGATCAGAGGTGATGGTAAAGTTATTGCGTATAATAAATATGTATTGTTTATATGTTGTATTTATGCTCATGTGGGTTTTGCCCTAATTCTATGTGTTCATTGTATATGTTGTTTGCGCCATGGTTGGCAAGGGTTTGGCGCCCTTGGTTCTGATCCGGGAGCTGCGGGAGGCAGTAGGGACCCGTTAGGAACCCCATGGTCCCCGAGGGGTTGGTCCGCCTCTCCTGCGGGGTGCGCAGGAGAGGTGTTGTGGACCCGATGGAAAGTCCTCGGACCGAAAGGTTCCAGGCGTCAGGAGTTGCTAGGCAGAGCCCACCGATGCGGATCGCAATAGGACTAGACCCCGTTTCGCGACAGGCGGTTTTTATTCCCTAAATGTTTGCGGAATGTGCCTTCAAACCGTATCAGACTTTCCAGCCAGCATAACAATCTTTACTTGGACATCAGCTGGGCTCTCAGCTGTAAACATGCAAAGCCTAGTGCTATAACAGCCCGTACCTTATTCTTACAAGGGAAGGATACCAGGTCGAAGTGGCCATTTGTAACGAGACATACACCACTAGATGTGTTTTTGGACGCTATCTCAAATCTGCTCTCCAAATCTGCGAAACGACTCTTTGAACGTAGTTATGAAGCGAGATAGTGCAGTGGCAGCGGGCGGCTCAACGAACGAGAGGTCGTGAGTTCGAGTTCTTGGCGAGTTGTCACTTTTGCTTTTCTTGTGAACGTTGTTTAAGG